CGAACATAACCCCAGAAGTCACTATCTCAAGTATGCTTCCCCGAGATGGGTACTTGAACGTCGTAAACATGGCCCAACGAAGGCTCAAAAGGGACTGGAATAGAGTGAAGATAGCCTAACATAGCCCTAGAAGTCACTATCTAAAGGTAGTGTCTGCGAGATAGGGACTTGAACGTCGTAAACTGGAATAAAAAACACCCCCTAACGTGGCCAAACATAGCTTTCATATTGCCTGACACGTTGGGCCATGTTAAATCCCTATCTCGAAACATGGAATCTATGCTCGGCCACGTTGGGGAGGGGGGGGCACTTCCGGGGCTATGTTCGGTGGAAATATTGGCCCCTTCCATGCGGTGCGGGCGGTTACCGTCGCGAAGCGACGTGAATACAACCCATTTATATAACCAAATGTTCATGGTGCAGTGCCATAGCTGCTAGGTCTAAAAGTGGTAAGAAACGCTGATGATCCAAGAGACTCCTCCGGTGAAAGCTGAAGGCCTCGCAGGACCAGTAGGCCTCTGCGGCCACGCCACAAGTCGACCAATTTGCGCCGCACTTTGGGCGCTTGAAGGTCCTGTTTCGAACGGATGAAAGGAAGCCGGATAAATGTTTGAATGAAATTACAGCAAGCTATACTGGATTCGTTCTGCCCATTCTCTATATTCCAGGCTGTTAAAACGGCTTGCGTGTGAAAACGCATGCAAAAGTATCAAGTCGGACACTTAGCAGCTTGCTTTTGAAGAAATTCACCCTGTCCTGAGGCTTCAGTCCCGTCACCACGGCTCCAAAGCCGTTCGAGCCTAGCCTGGTCCAGCGCAGACCAGGTCCCTGAGGAGGGCCAGTGAATCGGACGTGACTCATCCCTGCTCCCTTGCCTCATGTATCTCGATGTCTCATCCCAAAGACTAAGAAGCATTCCAAGAACACTTCAAGCTAGAACTCAGAAGAAAACTTGATTCTTGATGGCCTGTGAAGGCCAGAAGCCCTGCACCCAAACGTTTTGCAAGAGTTACAAAAGCTAGGAAGCTTAGGGTTTAGAGTTCCAAGCGTTCGTGGCAATGATATGTGGGTCGGTCATTCATGGACCATCTTAGAAGCTTCACTCAAGACTCTCGCTCCTTTTCACGAAGAGATAAGTTCCTCACCTCTGGCGCAGGCAGCTTCCCCCGCAGGCGGAAAGTGACTTTGCATCCAGGTGCCATGAGAACTAGGCGACCAGGTGCATATGTGTTTTGCGTATACATATACTGATATAATATTGTGTGTTTTGTATATTATATACTGTATACTAATCTATGCGTATGTCACTATGTCCAAATATGCTCAGGTTGTGGTGCTTAGTGTAGGTTTCCATGGTTGTAAGTTTGCATGTTCTGAATAAGAAAAAGAAATCATACATCGGAGAGTTAAAAAAGAAATGACAGGGATCTGTATATAGAGGTTTGAGATTGAAGAGGCTTAAAGCTTGGACACACCAAGCCTCCATTGACTGGCATTCCTCTTTTGAAGCTTACAGCTATGCATGGGCATCCATCTACATCCAAATCTAAATCGTCTCAATTTGGGGCCGTGAACAGCAGCCTGCAAGACAAGTACTGCTCCCCAGCATAGTCCGCATAGTCTAGCTTGCATGCCTATGAGAAAACTGTGGCCAGTCAATCGCTTTGTGAGCAACACGGAACAAGATTTCCCGAAAAGAAGAATCATTGCACTCCTTTGTGAGATTGGACGAAGGCTAAGCTACTCTGCATTCGGCTATTGGGACCTGTGACAAAAGAGGTTCGGACATGTTGTGACTGCTCTGATTTCGTGGAGAGAAATCATCTTCGACCATGTGTCATTTGCACACATTTAAAACAGTGTCTTTGTCCTCCTTCTTGGGCTAGGAAAATGACGCCGACTTAGCACTCATTCCTCATCCTCCGTGCTATGGATCCGGCTCCAAGGTGTAGGTCCTCGACTGTGGATTGGACAAGAAGGAATCCATGCGATCCATGCAGCTATTGAGTCCTATTGAATCCATAGTGGAGTCTATAGTATATAGAACAGTCTATATATATATATTATATATATAGGCTTTTGATGGCTTTTGGGGGCCACAGCCTTTTGACCAGCTCCACTTCACAACCACTCTTCATCTGGAACATCATGCCGCAACAACAAACCACCCATAGCCACCATGAAGAAACTCACCGTTCGCTTCGGCTTCGGGACCCATTCGCTCCGTGCTTCGCTCGCTTCCATGGCCATGGCACCCCATGTAGATCTCCGCAGAGCCCAGGCTGGATCCACCGACCTTCGTCACATCCTCGGCCTGGTCACGTTGGGAGGTGGTCGTGAGAAGCACTTTGAGGAAGCACATACAAAGTGCTGAAAGTGGCCATCTCCGGTGTCAGGCTGGTGCTCTGATTCTTGGCAGGGCAATTTGCAGGTGATGCGCTTTTGGTCTGTTGTGTGAAGCTCAGGACGTTGAAATGTAACCTGCCTCCTGGTTTCCTCTGCTCCAGAAGTAGTCAGAGGCGAGGTTCAAAGTGATGAAGGCCGTCCTGTCTCAAAGCTAGAGGACACGTAGACACAACCAACAGATAGTAGCATGCGCGAATGGCAGAGTTGAGCTGGTTCAAGATTGAGAACTTAGCCACATCTCAGAATAGAAACTTCTGACATACACGGTTCACGCATGTTTGCCAAGTTCATGAGCCTATGGGGCCTAGAAGGTCCCTGTGGTCATAGCAGACATGTGTAGAACGCATTCATAGTTCGCTCCAGCCAAGCAAGACGAGGTCGCAGCGTGCACGTGGCCTCAATGGGTTATTCAGCTCAGCAAGGGCAGATTCAGCCAGATATTATCGGCAAAGCGTTTGACGGAGAAGTAGAACAAAAAATGAACAAAATACATCAAGGAAATAGATTTGAGACCCTTCTCACAAAGATACTATCCTGTTGACATTCTGGATCGTCCCTTTACTCCACCTCCGCTTGCTAGCTTTAGACTGACACAACATAACTCTTCATGTCCTGCAGAACGGATCTTTCTCTTGAGAGCTGTCAACATTCCTTTTGTTCGCTGTCCCTCTGAGACCAGCAGCTGGGGCTGCTCCTCCATGCTGAAGATCCATGGCTCTTGAAGACAAGGAATGGGGACATTCAAAAGTTGGCAGAAAGGATCAATGATTGGCTCTCTTTGCTGGCCAATGGCTAGTAAAGGGTGCTTTTCCTTACTTGGCCTTGCAAAGAACGGGGGCTGGCAGCTTCAGCTCAGGAGAATGTTGTTTCATGTGTCAAGCAAGACTGGCTTGGAAGTGCATAGAGTCAGAGTGTAGATTGCATTGTTTCTTGTTTGGATAATCCAAAATGAGGCTTCAGGAGCGCG